GTAAAAAATGTATGTTTCTCAAATCCTCCTCCATTTTAAAGCTGCCTAGTTGTTGTTGCAATGTTAATTTTTGTGTAGCACAGGAAGTAACACAAATATTTTATATAATGACTAATGTGAATAAGAGAGACAGTGCATATAAACCTAGCATAAAAATAAATTCTAATCTTTCTTTCCTGCCTCAAAACAATGTAAGTCTTCTTACTGTATATTATTACACCAAATATAATTTTGTCTTGCAATATGAAATGCTGCTAAAACACAAGCTTACTAATGGAAATGATGATTCTTTGTATTTCTTCATTACAACATCTTGTATTCACAAATAAAAATATGAATAGTCCTAATGTAAAACATACTGAGTAAACTATTATGGTAATATGTACTTAAACTTGTCAATCTGTAACTATGGCTATTTAACTGTTTTGTTATTTTTTATCCACAGCCTAAAATCTGGGTCTCACTTTCAAGGAGAAATGCACTAAATATGTATAAAAAACATTATTGACAATAATCAAGATTCCCATTGACCATGCCTGAGATAAGCCAGGTATGGTATTAGCATTGACCATCAGTGTGGCAAGTGTAAACACTATCAAACTAACACCATCAACTACCTTTCCTTTTTGCTTGAGTCTCAGCCTGGAGCCAGTATTCTGCACTGGAATACCTACTGCTGATTTATCCTGAAATTCATTTAAATTACTGTACTATGTGTTTATTCTGTTATTGTTATAAAAAAAATATGAATGGTAATGTATTCTGCACATGGAGATATAAGTCTGATACCACTTAACAATAATTAAAGCATGCAAGACATGGACTTTTGACTCACATTGTGGGAAGACTGTAAGATGCTAAGAGATCTATGGAAATATTAATCAAAACAATGTTACACAAGCTTGCAACTAGGTGCAGTGTAAAATGAAACCAATACATTAGTGAATGACATTCTGCTAATGAGAAAAGTTCTTTAGGCTGATAAAATTTTGATATACAGCACATGAAGATATTAGACTGCATGTTACCATTATAGAAACATACATAAATGAAATAAATTCAAGGAGTTTAATTCTAAATTAGGAATAGACAAATACTGTAGTACATTATGAGGAGTTACATTCTATGCCATAATAAACAACTCAATTGATGGAAGCTTATATAATAAACTAAACCTTCACCAGTTTTTCACTTTTATACATGTTTATATATGTAATTCTGTAATGAATTTAATGTAAATCATCAGTCTCCAGAACAAATCAGTCTAAAAATCTAAATTAAATGTACTTATAGTCACTGAAATAAAAATTATAAGTCTCCAATTTAGAAAAAGCCTATCTTTTAAGCTGGTGTTAGTGACCTAAAAGTTAGCCACAGCAACACCAACACAGCATCTTTGCCTACCAAATACTTTCACCTTTTCACTTTTACATATTTTCCTAGTAATTTTTCATATAAAAGCCTTCCCATGTTTTCAAAACAATTTTGCAGATACCATATTCACTATTTTAATGATAATTTCTACCATCTAAATTTTTGTTTTAGATTTATTCATCTAACTCCATGTCCATGTCCATCTTTATTAACATCCATGGTAACACTTCCCTCTTTCTTTATCATTACAAGAGACTCAATCATTTTTTTTAATACACACTGGAAATCCTTATTTTTTTTTTGATCTACTGCTTAAAGAAATAGAAGCATTTAGACTAAGAACAACAAAAAAAAATAGTTAAGTGTTGTTAGATTAAGTTCTATCAAGTGCATGAGGATTGTTAAGGATGAAACTCTCCTGTACCTCCCTGTGTGTTTCTCAATTTAATATCAAACTTTATGAAGATAGAAAAAGGGAAAGCCAAATTAAACATATAATAATCTTTGCAATAAGAAATGGATGTCTTCATATTAAATTACACAAATTTATTTTCACTTGTGAAACATGCACACAAATTTATGTTCATAATTTACATTTTATGAGTGTTAAGTATGGTATTATTGCAATCAAGAACATGCAAAATAGGATGGGAAAAAGTTTAAGGTTAGTGAATTCTGAGGTTTTAGTTTAGTGTAGTGTTTTAGTAAAAAAAATTATTCTAAAAGGACAAGAAGAAACATTTGAATAATCCAGTTTCCTATTATTGTACTTACTTAGTTACCAGGAGTCAAGTTACCAATTCTTTTGAAAATATAACTGGAATAAGAATTTTCTATAGAAATAATCTGAAAGGAGTTTCAGACACAGTCATCCCTCGCATAACAATCAATATAGGAACCATAAGAATGGTCCTGCAAGCAAAAATTACAATGGTTTAATGTAATTTTTCCAAAAGATCCAATGTTATAACTCAAGTTGTGAACTAGAATGATAATTTTCTATACATAATTCGAGTTTTTACATTTAGTGAATTTAATTTTCCTGCAAAAGCTCATGTTATAATAAGAGATACTGATGGGGACAATAACAATACAACTTAGTAAACATTGCAAATACTGTAGATATGACTTAGTGCATGATGTTCAAATTGAAAATGAATCATAGGATTTTTTGTCAAAATAGTATCAACCTCTGATGTTAAGGCATTCCTAAAAAAATTTTGTTACTCATGTTTTGAGCTTGTAAATTTTTTCTTATAGACACCCTTGTTATAATTGGAGAAACATTCCAAGCTATAATAATCTGTATCTATTTTATTCTTTTTTAACTCAAGAATATTTAAACAATAATTTACAATTAGTATTGTTCCTTTTCAATTGCAAATAATATCAATGGGGAGAAGCAGGTGGCCAGCAATTCCTATTATGGTGGACAGAGATGAGATTGTTCAGCTATGATTGTAACAATTAGGGTATGTGCCAAAGTTTGACGAGTATTGGATAATATTAATGGTATCAGTATCAGTCTAAAAACGAGTACCAATATCTGTAAAAGTTTCAATATCCTCCTATCCCTATTAACAACAACAAACAATTCTGTAACCACCAGACACTGTCCTTTGTTTCTGAATCAACTGACCCAGCAAATTGTACCTCATATCACTGAAGTCCATTAAACTGAAATCCATTAAATCAAAGGTTTACTGTAATTAATTGGTTCCAAGGTGCCAATATTATAAGTGTGTGGATCATCATAAGTTGGGGTCCATACTGTATATTAAAGTGAGTTGTACATCGCCTAGGTATTAGAAAATGGCAAGGAAATGTACAGGGTGTCCACAAAAACACTCCCTGATTTCAAACAGTTAAAACATGTAACTTTACTGCAATAATCTTTCACAGTTAGTAGCTTCAGATGCCGGATTTCATTCAGTTTCATGTGGTATAGGGTAGCATTAAAAGCACTCAATGTGCACTCTTCTGGTTGCTCAGCAAACATCGAAGCAATAGTCCAGATGCTCTGCAGCATATCTGAAGTTATCATGCAAACTGCTTCAATGACCGAAATTTTCAGCTCCTCCAGGGTTGCAGGTAGTGGTGGTACATAAACTGTGCTCTTTACATACCCCCAGAGAAAGAAGTCACAAACAGTTAGGTCTGGTGACCTCTGCAAGTGGCCTGCAAGGTCACTGGACCTAACTGTTTGTGACTTCTTTCTTTGGGGGTACGTGAAGAGCACAGTTTACATACCACCACTACCTGCAACCCTGGAGGAGCTGAAAGTTTCTATCACTGAAGCAGTTTGCATGATAACTCCAGATATGCTGCAGAGTGTCTGCACCGAACTGCACTATCGCATAGATGTTTGCCGAGTAATCGGAGGGGCGCACATCGAGTGCCTTTTAATGCTACCCTATACCACATGAAACTGAATGAAATCCTGCATCTCAAGCTACTAACTGTCAAAGATTATTACAATAAAGTTACATGTTATACCTGTTTGAAATCAGGGAGTGTTTTTGTGGACACCCTGTATATGTATTTTGTATTTATGGTGCAAAATTTTTATCATAATCTATGAAATTAAGTGCTTGATAAAATGCTAGAAAATGTTTGTAGTTTATAAATAAAGTTAATTTTTTAAGCATTACTAAAAAATATTTCTGTGCTAAAGGTTTTGAGTTGCATTGGTTTCCTCACTTATGCTCAAAGTTCTTAGGCTAACCCAATAAATTTTGTAAACATTTGTTTTAAACTTTTCTCAGCTCTGAATTTCACAGAAGCCTAAGGACACTCTTTCTGCTTGGAATCTTAACATATGAATTTTTTAGGTGTCTGGTCTCAGGGATTTTAGTACAATTTGTCTAACTGAACATCTAATGGCAGAAATGGGAAAATCCCCTTTGTTTATTTCTCTTTTATCATCATTAGCACTGTCACCAGTGTTTGCCTACATAAATGAGGTTAGGATTGTGGACAACTATTTTGAAATCCTGAAATAGGTTTTCTACATATTTAGCAACATGCCATGATGTAAAAAATTTTCCACTGTGGTCACATGACATATCAACCCCAATACTGACAACAAAACTTCTGTACACTGCTATGACATGCATACTACCAGTAGTCCTTCAATAGTAAAACTAAATTTAAGAAAATACCTTCACCAATGGCAAATTATTAGTTAATTATTGGTTATTCACAATAGTGTATATACCAAACAATTCTCAATCTTACAGTTTACTTACCGATACATAGGTTATGAAACATTGAGAAATCCCGCTTAAATTTCATACAGAAATCTGTGTTATAGAACTACACACAAAGAAACATCAGTGTGTTTTTCCAATATGCTCTCAGGGATACCTGACATCATGAGAAACTAACAAAACAAAGCAAAAAAACAAAGTAAGAACACTTGGATTATATTAATTTCAAATGTTTACTATGAATTTAATATATCTTTCCGGAAGTAATGTTGTAATGCTGTATATTATTTGGTTTATAAAGCCACTTACCTTTAACTTCTGGACTTTGCCCTTGAGTGATGAATGGGTTCCTATATGTTGAAATAAGGAAGGCTTGAAGTGAATCCAGACATTTTCCTTGGCTTTCTTGCAATGTTTCTGTTTGGGAATTAACAACAATACATCAATGAATACACAAGATTTTCTACTTTAAACATTGCATATATTATAATCATAGGAAATTTTTTTATTAAACATATACACAACTCTACAAAGTTTCAAAAATTTCATTTACTAATTAAACTTAAATGTTTAAAGGTTTCATTAAGGTAAAATATTTCTAGGTTTAATTTAACAAAATATTACTATAAATTACTGATACAGATACAAAAAATTCAAATAGTTTGCTTTTCAATAAACATTAAAAAATTTAAAATGAACAAAAAATAGCATGCATATGCTTATTTATGCAAACAGTATTAGTTGAAGTATGCATTATTGCCACTGCATGCACAGCATATTATCTACAAAAAATTAGCAAAAGCAGTATGCATATTTTGATCAGTGTATAAAAAAAAAAAAAAACTGATGATACATTTAAGAGAAAAGGCCTTCAGGATAACCACAAATACAGTTACATGTGCAGGGTTCATAGATATGCTAATGTAAGTACATGAGCTAAAGTAATATATATAGGCAAGAGAGCATCAAGCCTTGACCACCAACAGAAGCACTACTGGGGTGAGGAAATATGTACACAATTATTAACCCCTGCAACCACTGATAATTTTTTTTTTAATCTATACAACAAACATCTCATAAACAAGCCATCACTCGGTCGATTTTTTGTTCCGAGTTATGAGTGAGCTTTCCCCTCAAGGGAGGTTCCTTGACGCTGGTGAAGGGCTCTTGATCTAGGGAATGGAAGGTATTCAGGCCTGAATACCTTCCATCCCCTCCCCCCACAGGCACTCTATAATCTGACGGGTTTGGTGCTTCCCCATTATTATAATAATAATGAGTGAGCTTCAAAACACAGCCACTAGTTGGCGCAGCGAATGCCACAACATCCGTTGAGCAGTGCACATGTTTACCTCACCATGGAAGCCTTTCTCCTGTGTTTTGCTTGCATTTTATGCAGTTATTTTGACAAATTTCTCTTTTCTAACCATGGGTCCTAAGAAAGTAAGTGCAAACAACAGTGCTGAGAAGAAAAAGAGGATGATATCCATGGCATTAAAGCATGAAATCATAGATGAACACAAGCAAGGTGTGCGGGTTGTGGGTTGTAGCATTAAGAGTGTAGCAAGTAAGTTAAGCGATTGAAAAAGGACGAAATGAAACGAACTCCTCCAATGTTGTTGCTGTTGTTGTTGGGGTTTATAGGGCCACTGACAGCATATGCCGCTGTGCCAGCATTTCTTCTCCAAGGTAAATATGAATGTACACTATATAAAACCAGTTTATTTCTTTACATTCTCTATTATGTTTTTATACAATATTTCTTATTTATAAATACAGTTTCAGTGTTTTCCTTATGAAACTAGTGATCTAGTGCAGTTAGCCTCACAAACACACTGTTTTCTCTTAAAAAGAGCATGGGAAGATATGGTCAGAGCGGGAGCAGGAATGACCGCCACCAATCACATAATGACATTCTATTCAGTCTAGAGTATATATCATGTTTCTATGTTATTTATATTGTTTATTATGTCATATTAGATCAATTGTGATAGATAAATAAGCTGCAGAGTTGATATTAGCATTACATGTATACTGAAGTATTTTGTCCTGCCTCCTGAGAGCAGGAATTCAGCTGGAATGGATTAATGGCATTTCAATTAATTTAAATGAGGAAAATTTATTTGATATACGAGCAAATTGAGTTATGAGCTAGGTCACAGAATGGATTAAACTCGTAAGTTGAGGTTCCACTGTATATTATAATTTCAGTAAATACAGTTTTTATATTTTTTGTATTTTTGTCTTTCTCCTGGTTTTCTACCCGTCATTGGTTCTTGACTCTTCTCCTCATTTGTCTTGCAATGCTGAGAAGTTTTTTTTTTCTTTCCCAAAATCATCCATACAGCCAGCTACATATATTCCACTTGTAAATAGTTCCAACTGCATTTCTAGCCAATATGTTGTATATGAATCTGTCATACTTTTCCTTGATGGTAACACTTTTCATATATACTCAAGTATTTTATGCAATATATTAAGGTATAAATAACAAAAAGGCACAATACCGTGACTGGAACGATACACAAATAACCCGCACATAAAAGAGAGAAGCTTACGACGACGTTTCGGTCCGACTTGGACCATTGACAAAGTCACAGTGTGACTTTGTCAATGGTCCAAGTCGGACCGAAACGTCGTCGTAAGCTTCTCTCTTTTATGTGCGGGTTATTTGTGTATATTAAGGTATCATGCTTCTTTTGAATAAATACACTGCTGTACTACTCTTATTCTGTTCAATACTCATTTTGTCCATATTGTCCTGGTTTTTGTATATTATCCTGTTTTTGCTTCACAGGCAGGCCCCACTTTACAGCACTTCACTTTACAGTGTTTTTGCTAATACAGCAGCCTTTAATTACACCCATTCTTCATTTATTCAGACTTCCTACAATAAATACTATATTCACCACACTATAAGCTAGGGATGAAAAAGTTTTAAGATAAGTGATGTGTGTACTGTATATGAGTTTTTTAGCCCTAGCTATATTGCTCACCCTAATACATGATAATGTCAACTTGTTATTAGGCTTTTATATAGATTTGAAAGGGAAAAAAGGTTACGATTCACTTTACAGCAATGTCCGCCTTACAGCAGTAGCTCGGAACCTAACCTGTTGGATAATCAGGGCCCTCCTATATTCAGTTTTATTTTTTGTGCATTATCCCATATTTGTATATGCTGTTTTTAATGTTTTATTCTGTACTCGCCTATTTGTGGTTGCAGGAGTCGAGACATAGCTCTTGGCCCCGCCTCTTCACTGATCGCTACTAGGTCCTCTCTCCTCCTGCTCCATGAGCTTTATCATACCTCATCTTAAAACTATGTATGGTTCCTGCCTCCACTACATCACTTGCCAGACTATTCCACTTCCTGACAACTCTATGACTAAAGAAATACTTCCTAACATCTCTGACTCATGAGTCTTCAGCTTCCAATTGTGACCCCTTGTTTCTGTGTCCCATCTCTGGAACATCCAGTCTCTGTCCACCTTGTCAATTCCTTGCAGTATTTTGTATGTCGTTATCATGTCTCCCCTAACCCTCCTGTCCTCCAGCGTCATCAGGCCGATTTCCCTTAACCTTTCTTCATAGGACATTCCCCTTAGCTCTAGAACTAGCCTGTATAATACTACTATTGTAGTATGTATATATAATTGCTACTGGCATATCATTAGTACTTTTACAATTATGTTTTGCTGGCATAATATACAATTATCATGTTATAATTATTTTTATTAGCATTATAAAAAAACAGCATTAGTTAACTAAGTTAAGTGACAAGGAAATTACTTATTGCTTATATAAGAGACCATCTCTAACCTTTATAATAATCAATTTACTGCAGAGTAAGTCTATAGCAAATATTATACAAGTGGCCAATGAAAACTATCTTCAGCAACATCAAGATTACTATCTCAGATCCCTAAGTTAACACTAGGATGACATCAATACACACCTACAGCTGCTAAATACAAACCTAACTTTCACTATTCTTAGAGAACCCTGGCTATAACACAGTACTACAGATATAGTTTACCTGTGTATTCAGTCATATATCATATAATAAGTGTGCAATAGAGCTAGGCCTAAAAAAGCTATATGAAAGGAAAATGAATGTATAGTACACATATTACGTACCTTAAATTATTTTCGTCCTTAGCTTATACAGGTTAATTTGAAACTTGGGAAAATTGCCAGAAAACAGGGAGCACACACAAATTCTGTAAACAGACTGAATCACTGACAACTCACCCTGGCTCATGACAACTGATATGCAGGCTACTCAATTAATGTGAAATTAATTTGTATATAATGTAAGATGTATTGTGGGGATAATGCTCCATAAATGTATATATAATGTCAGTGTTTTGGATGAACACGTAACAGACGGTCAGATGACAGTCAGAGGGGGACATACTATTAATCCTTTCAGGGTCGAGATGCCCTCTCCCAAACGTGTTCTCAGGGTGGAAAATTTTGGAAAAAAAAAATTATTTTTTCTTATGAAAAGATAGAGAATCTTTTCCCAATCACAATGACACCCTAAGTATGAAATTTGATGGAAAAAGTTAAAGAATTATGCTCCCACGAAGTTAGTGGTCTCGACGATGTTATTGCATCGGCGATTTCACCCACTTTGAGCCCTATTTTCGGCCAATTCCAGTGTACTAGTTGACAAAAATTATAACTATTTCGCTAGAACTCCATTTTTTCTATCGAATGAGTACAAGAAACCACCCATTTACCAATTTCAACTATCCAATAAGGTGGTCAAAACTTAGCAATTTTGCCAATTTCACACAAATTTCAAAAGATGCCACTTTCCAAATAGGGTCCAGAATAAACAAGACAGACATTCCTGGCACTAAAATAACATTTCCTCTGTTAATTAGTCACGTCCCCAGGCTCCTCTTACATTTCTTTTGTTTTCCACTTTGAATTCTTATTCTCACAAAAAATAGAAGATTTACTGTTATGCAGACTACTCCATTAGTATAGAAATGGTATAAATAATATCAGCGCACTTGTGAACGAATATTAAACTCACCAGTTGACGTGTATTGGACACGTGGCATGATTTGTTTACTTCTGAACTTTGGCAGAAATTGAACATTTCTGCTACTTTGAGCTCAATTTCAAGGTACTTTTCATTGTGAAACCAATCAAAATCATCTCAATTTCTGTAATATGTCTTCCATTCTATAAAATGAGACCAGGAAAACTAGAATGCAAGCATAAATACCACATGGAAATACACTGCAAATTCGCTGTTTTAGCCCTTAAATGGTCCAAACGTATATATACGTTTTTTCAACATCTGAAAGTATGTAAAAAAATGTAGATCTTTTTTTTTCGTTTTACATGTGAAAATGTGTAAAAAAACTTTTATCTACATTTTTTTTTTGTTATATTTG